GCCTGAGAACCTGTAACTCTCACAAGCCCCAGGTATCGCTGATGGAGCTGGCTTTATGGCCAGTGAGCGGCACGTCACAGGGGGTATTCAAGAAGTAAATGGCTGATTACATGGTATGGAAAGTGTGGAGAGGGTTAATGCATTGGATAAGGGTTAGGATTACATCAGTGCTCACCAGCCTTTCTGTTACAGCTGAAGTCTCCCCCACCACCACCAAACGGCATCATCCACAGAAAGTCACACATAAACCCAGCAAAGCAGAGTTGCTTGTTAGAGTGAAAGCAGGAACCCCAGAGCCCTGCCCTCTCAGCCCCCTTCATCCCCCACTTCGGGCACCTAGAGCCTCCATGAAGTGCATTAGAAGATGCACTGGATACTATTTAATACACCCATGTATCTGATTTCAGATGCTGGGGATTATTTCAGAGACTGTTGGTGCTTGAACAACAAGGTGATTCCAGATAGTGAGACATTAAGTAAACCTGGATTAGTGAGCATTAAGGCATTAAGGACAGGCGAATCTGCAGGATCTGGGATGACACAGTCTGTATTTAGCAAGTTTATCCTGTAAAATGTGCTGCTTCCACCAACAGAATTTAATGATCAGAGTCCATGCACGTATCTCATCAAGTGGGAAGGCAGCCAAGCCATCCCTGCTGTCACAGCCTCTTGCTGTCCCTCCTGGTCCTCTCTCTGACTCACCTCTGATGCATCCCTGACCCCTCTTCTCTTCTCCCAAGGCAGATATTAATTCTGAGAGCTGATAAAACCCTGCCTGGCAGGAACCTAGGGAATATCAGAGTTGAGAGTCAAACAATAGCATGGAGCCACACATAATAAGATTACACAGGTTCCATTGGCCGGCTCTCTAAAATAATGATTTTGGCAAAAAAAAAACTACCAAACAGGATTGATTATCTTCAATTAACTACAAGGATATGATAAAATTTCTCCAAGAAAGTGTCAAGATGGGAGAAATGTATTTATTTTCCTATCTTCTACTGATGGAGTTTCATTCAAGAGCCATTTAGAAGTTTTGATAACTCAGACATTGTTTAAATTGAGTATTTGCCATTTCTATGTAAAAGGGGTTTATCTGAGCAAGATTTAGGGGGATGCATTTAAACTTTGATCCCATCCAAGAATCAAACCTACAGGTTGGTTTGTTTTTGTTTTTTTGTTTTTTTGTTTTTTATGATTTTGGAGAGGGAGGTTGTTGAGGGGTTCCTGGAGGGAGCAGAAGACTGTGCATCTGAAGACCTAAAGACCCCAGCTCCACTAGAATGTTCTTAATGGACTTTTTAAATTAAGTTTATTGCAATAAAATATATATAACATAAAATTTACCATTATACATTCCCGGTATTGTTGCAACCATCACCACGCTCCGTTTCCAGAACTTTTCCACTATCCCAGATTCTGTACCTATTATCTCATCCTCTCCTCCTAGCCCCTGGCAACCTCTATTCTACTTTCTGTTCTTATTAATTTGCCTGTTCTAGATATTTCATATAAGTGGAATCATACCATATTTGTCCTCCTGTGTCTGGCTTATTCACCTAACATAATGTTTGCAAGGTTCATCCATTTTGTACCCGGTATCAGAACTTCATTCCTTTTTATGGCTGAATAATATTCCATCATTAATTATATACCACATTTGGTTTATCCACTCAACTTTTGAGGGCCATTTTGGTTATCTCCACCTTTGGGCTATGGTGAATAGTGCTGCTAGGAATATTGGTGTGGAAGTATCTCTTTTGAGTTCCTGCTTCCAAATCTTCTGAGCATACATCTAGAAGTGGAATCATGGAGTCATATTTCTGTTATTCTTCATTATCCCTGTTCTAGAATGGACAGGTTAATGCTCTAACTGATTATAATACTTTTTAACTGAAATTAAGTCCATACTTTCTGTTGTTTACAAATAAATAAGAAAATAACTTTTCCTTCTTAAAAAAAAAAAAAAAAGAGGCTGGGGGCTCCGGGGTGGCTCAGTCAGTTAAGCATCCGACTCTTGATCTCAGCTCAGGTCTTGATCTCAGGGTTGTGAGTTCAAGCCCCACATTGGGCTCCATGCTGGGCCTGGAGCCTACTTGGGGGAAAAAAAAAAAAAAAAGAAAGGTTGATAAGTTATGTTTAGTGATTCAGCTTCGCATTTTCCTAATGGTCTAATCTGATCTGTGATTTTCCAAAGGGCACTTTGTTTTAAAGTGTAAGTTTTATTTTCTATTCAGGTATGGTGAGGCCAATAGATGAGGACATGATTGCCATGGAAAAGATAATTTATTACTCATAGTTCCCAGGACGAAGGGGCAGACGTGCCACACAGGGCCACAGGCAGAGAGAGACCATGGGGGAACTTCAGGAAAGACTTTATTGTGTGTTCCAGAGAAGGAATGGGTGAGGCAGGGTAAACAGGCTTAGAATTGGCTAGTTTGAATCATTTCCGTGGGTTCCGTGCCCCTGACTGCCCGAGGTGGCCCTGGGGTGACTATGGCTGCCAGATAGCATCCCACAGTGTAAAAGCCCCTGAGAAAACAGGTGGGGGTATGGGCCCTGGGTTGGTTAGTTTATATATGAAAGTCACCCCAACACGAGTTATCTCTAGGAATCAGCTGGCACAAGGAGGGACAGCCCTTTCCAGGTCAGCAAGGCCTAGACCTCAAAGCACCAGATACAGAAACTAAAAAAATATGGTTAACACACACTTTAAGTGAAGTCATAAATCTCAAACAATGGGGTTCCAACAGGCTTGCAGACCTTGGACCTGAAACAGTGTTTCTCAGGGCTAACCAAGTATCCAAATAACTTGGAGAATTTTCTCAACTGTGGTTTCATGCTTCTACACTCAAGGCCAATTAAATGTCCATCTCTGAGCACTGATCATTTTAAAAGCTCCCCTGGTGATTCTCATGATTCCCGGCTTGAGAGCTGTCAATTTAGGACAGTGTTTCTCAAAGTCTGAACCTGGACCAGCAGCAGCAGTATGGCCTAGGAATTTGTTAGAAATGCAGATTCTCAGGGGGGCGCTTGGGTGGCTCCGTTGGCTAAGTGTCTGACTTTGGCTCAGGTCATGTTCTCAAGGTCCTGGAATCGAGGCCCGTGGCAGGCTCCCTGCTCAGCAAGAAGTCTGCTTGTCCCTCTGCTCCTCCCCCCTGCTCATACACGCTCTCTCTCTCTCTCCCTCTCTCAAATAAAATAAATAAAATCTTTAAAAATAATAAATAAAAAATAAAATAAATGCAGATTCTCAGGCATACCCCAGACCTGCTAAGTGGGAAAGTCTAGGTGTGGTCCAGCCCTTTGTGTTCAAACAAGCCCCCCAGGTGATTCTGAAGCTGGCTCAAGTTTGGGAACCACTGGTCCAGGGTAAGGAGCACAGGTGAGGACTGCACAGTCCTCCCATCATGTCCTTGACCCCCAGCCTGATGAGACTGGAGCAGCCTGTCTGCACAAAATGGATGCGCTCAGCACCCTGCTTTGCTGATCTGTGGTGCGCTACTTAAGAGCTCTTCAAGGGTCCTCAAGTTGCAAATTTTAATATTCAGAGGAAGCTGAATAAGTAGTAAAACTGTGGGGCAAAAAAGTGATTGAAAACATAGTACCGATAAAGGAGAGAAATGAAATAAATAAGTGGGTTTTCCTTGTTGGGGAAAAAAAATCATTTCAGAGAATAAGCATAAACAGAGTGGAATAAAATACCATTGGGTGACCTTTCTCCAGTGACAAGAAGCTGGTTCTGGGGTCACAGTCCTGCCTTCTTATCCCGGCTCCTCTTTTTAGCAGCTGTGAATTTGGGAAAGTTAATTAATTTCTAACCTTCAGTTTCCTCATCTATAAAATGGGATTACGATGGTAGCTACCTAATCATTTGTTTTCAGGATCAAATAAGAATAATATAGTTGAGTAGTTGAGTGCTTGGCTTTGTGCTCTTCACTAATTGAAATCTAACTACCCTTTCTGCTATGAATACCGTACATTATTATTAGCACAGTGATCTAGAGTGAACTCCCCAAAATATTAGCTGTTCCCACTACGATTATTACTATTAGGAGACTGAGCCTCTCCATTAAGCTCACATCAGGAGAAAGGGGCTACAATTAGCCAGACATGTCAAGGACCCCCTGAGAAAAATATCCTTTCTCAAAATTCAAAAAAAATTATTTGAGTGTCCTACTTAGAAAGATCCTTGCCTTAAACAGAATAGGATAAGGTATGCTGTTGTAACAAACCTCAAAATCTCAGGGGCTTAACATGGCAAAGGTTTCTTTCCTGCCCTTGTTCCAGTCAAACTCAAGTCAGTTGGTATCTGGCCTGCGAGTTGTAACTCAGAGACCCGGGAAGCTTCCATCTGGAGATAGATTTTTAAGGGCCAGGCTTAGAAGTGGCTTATACTTTGTGGCTTTCACCCACTGATCCTAGTTCTAAGATAAATGTAATCTCTCTCCTCCAAGCTAATTATTCTTATACCCGTGAATCCATTTGTCATGCAGAATGGATGAGAGCTCACCAACCCTTCAGTAGCTCTCATCTGAATGTACAAATTGGCCCACACTCCTGCACCAAAACTGAGCCTAAATGTAATCTGACTGGTATAAACCGAGTGGTACAACCACCTCCTGCATTCTAGAGACTATACTTCTATTAATGCAGCCTCGGGTTGCATTTTTTTGGAGGGAGAGTGTCAGGAATATTGAACTTACTATCAACTAAAATTGTCGTACGTATACAACGGATTCAGTTCCCTTTCATCGGTGTTTATTCTTCTCTTCAATCTCAACAGGAATCTCTATTACGGAAAGAGTCCGCAAGAAAAACATAAGTTGAAGAGATTTGTTTTCTCTAGTTTATCCATTTATGTATCACCCAACCATTCAATGCAGGCGGCAAGCCTCCCTGGGTGTGCCTTGTCATCCAAATGCTGAGAAAGCTAGTTGTCAAGCTTTGACCACCCCTGTTATTTCTTAGACGGACGCCTCCCATGCTCCCTGTTGCAGGTACCACATCTGTGTGACTGTGCTGATCTACTTCCTCCCCTTGCTGGTGATCGGCTATGCGTACACGGTGGTGGGAATCACTCTGTGGGCCAGCGAGATCCCCGGGGACTCCTCGGACCGTTACCAGGAGCAGGTCTCTGCCAAGCGCAAGGTAATCGAAGAGCAAGAGCATCTGACCCACCCTGGCACAGGCGATAGGCTGGCAGGCACCGGAGCCCCAGAGCCTCCCGAGGCCCAGAGGCTGCAAGCACAAAACATCCCTGGGTCTGTGGAACAGTGGAGGGGAGGGCGGGGATGTGGGGCAGGGGAGGGAAGAGACCTTTCTTCGTCGTATTTGTAACCTGGGCCCACCTGTAACAGGCAGGAGCCACTTCCTTCTTGCCTTAAGAGTAATTGGCAACCCGTCAAGCTATTAACATGCACACACATACACCACACACGCGCGCACACACACACACATTTAACTACAGAGGCAGTGAAGAGCTGTTAAGTCCTCTTTTATTATTAGGGTTCAGCAAAATAATACATTCACTTGATTCAAACACCAAAAAGTATCAAAAGGAACAAAATTAGTGATGGAGAACAGACCAGGGGTTGCCACGGGTTATACCGGGGGGAGATTCTGCCTATAAAAGGGTAGCATGAGTGAGTTTCTTTGTGGTGATGGATCAGGTCTGTATCCTGATTGTGGTGGGGTTTTCACCATCTATGCATGTGACGCAATTTCATAGAACTATACACCAAAAAAGAATGAGTGCATGCAAAAACTGGCAAAATGCAAATACAGTCTGAAGTTGAGGTAATAGTGCTGTGCTAATGTTGATTTCCTCATTAATCACGTGATAGAGTTGTGTAAGATGAGATCGCTGGAGGTACCTGGGAATTCTCCGTACTACTGTTGCAAGTTCTTGGGAGTCTTAAATTATTTCAAAATCAAAAGTCCAAAGATATATGGAGTCTTACCATGAAAGGGCTCCCTCCTTTCCAGGTCTTCCGTCTACCCAGTTCCCAAATGCGCAGGTGTGCGCACGCGCACACGCACACCACGGTAACCACTGTTATTTGTTATTAATCCGTCCAGATATTACAATGTATTTATAAGCCAAATATATAGTCTTTTCTTTTTTACACAATAAATACACACTTCTTCCCCTCCCTTTTCTCGCTTAACAGTATCCACAAGATATATCGAAAACCGATACATCAAGAGCTTTCTAATTTTTTCTCTTTTGGTACCTCTTTACATAGTATCTCATTAGTGGATGCTAGTTAGTTTTTCTCTGAAGGTTTCGTGGGGATAAAAAGGAACATGTTACATCACCCACTGTTCATAAAAACCCTTGAAATCCCCTTTCGCCATCTGGTGCTCCCCTGCTGCCGCTCTCCAGACCCCTCCCTTCCCCTTCCTTGCCCAGGTACTGCCCTGGCCCGTGGTTCCTCCCCACACCCCCCCGCTGCTCCCTCCCCCTTCCTGGATCTCTACCCCCTGAACACCCATTCCCCTGGGTCTGCCCACCCTTGGCTTCTCCGCTCACTGCCCAGAAGGATGATAGCACACAGAGGTTCTCGAACATGAGTGTGTCTCAGAATCATCTGAACGCCTGGTCAGACACAGAATTCTGGGTTTCATCCCTAGGGTTTCCGATTCTGTGAGTGTGGAATGGGGTCCCAGAATCTACACTTCTGGCGAGTTCCCAAATGATGTCACGAAGCTGGTCCCAGAGCCACACTCTGAGGACTACTGACGTAATCAAAGTCCCTTGGTACTGCACATAAATTGTCCTTCCTCCTCCTCGAAAGGAGTTCTTCTCGATACTCCCCAGCCTGTACCGCACTGAGTGCAGCGAGAGGGCGGGAGAAGAGGGAACCATGACAAAAGGTGGTCTCACCTGTCTCACGCTCTTGGAGTCTCACCTCTCGCCAGGTGGTCAAGATGATGATCATCGTGGTGTGCACCTTCGCCATCTGCTGGCTGCCCTTCCACATCTTCTTCCTCCTGCCTTACATCAACCCTGATCTCTACCTGGAGAAGTTCATTCAGCAGGTCTACCTAGCCATCATGTGGCTGGCCATGAGCTCCACCATGTACAACCCCATCATCTACTGCTGCCTCAACGACAGGTGAGGACCCCATCCCCCACACTCACTCTGGGGGCAATAAGATCATTTGTCTCCATAGCAGCCAAGCATCCAACCTAGATGAGCCTCTGGGAGACAAAAGGGAGTGGTAGGGACTGCAGCAAAAAATGACCACGCCACTCAAGCCCTACTAATTATTGCCATGCAGGATTGCGAACCCAAAGTGGGCGTTTTTTTTCCTTTCCAAGAAGAACCAGAAATCCGCATTTTTGTGTGAGGTCTTCTAACTTTTGAACCCTGGCAACTAAGGTAGTGGGGGCGGGGGTGCACATTAAAAAAAACCTCTGTCATTGATGCATATAAAGAGGTCTGCAAGCTGGGTCCTGTTCATGGCCTGGGAGTTTGGTCACTCTGCCCTACAGGTCCACGCACCGGGGGCTGTGCGTGCAGAGAGGGAGAGAGAGGGAGGGAGTCAGAGAGAGTCATGCACAGACGGCATGGTGACGGCACCAGAACACCATTCTCCACGGGGCGTCTTTCCCCTCACTGGTCTCCCACTTTCCCCTTCCCATCCATCCCATCATACAATCCAGGCAGCTTTCTCCAGTTTCTTCCAGCAGCTCCAGCAGGACTGGGTAAGCAAAAGGCCCTGATTCGGCCCTGACTTGGCCACACCAGTCAGGAGAGCTGTCCTAGTAGAAGAAGCCAACCCTGGACAAGTAAGAGAAGGGGGAGCCCATCAGGGACGGCGGTCAGCAATAGGGAATTCGGGTCCGTGCGCAGAGTCCCCAGGAGGCAGCTCGGTCCCTCAGCTGGGAAAGGAGGCAGGGCCAGGGGGAGGAATAAAATGCTTGTCATGGTCTTTCTAGCTTTCGGTCATCAGCCTATAAAGTGCCTTCTGTGAATGAGACACTCAGGTGCTGTGAATTTGGTGGCAGCCATTCTCTTGAACGTATCCAGATGCTGTCTGTTAGGTTAACTCACGGATTCATCTGGGGTTAAATATCCCAGCAAGTCTTTAAGTAAAGGCTGATTCTCCCAGTTTATCAAACCGGAGACCTGAGGCACACGGAAGGGACGTGATTGAAGTGAACCTCAGTCAGCAGGCTCCTCGAGAGACAGGAGTCCTGACACGTGGGTTTCCTGCCCAGTGACGAGCACAGTACCGAGCACACAGCAAACACTTGGCGGACGCTTTGGTTAGTGTTGAATCGATCCAGCGTGGGCTGAGGTGTGGGTGGAGGCAGCAGAGTTCAGGGGTCACCCTCAGTCAGTACAGGCATTTCACGCGAGCCTGGGGTCTAGTCCTGGACTGTGCCTTCATGACTGACCTTCAAATCGTTTTGGCCTTAATGTCTCCAGCTGTCAGTATAAAAACCAATAAGAGAGAGTCATGCTCGGGTATGTCCACGTGTGCAAGAGCTGAGACAGTGGGGGGAATGCCCTCTGGGAGCAGGCTGTCCCCGAGGGTCACCTCTCCATCTGCTCTCTCGCCAGGTTCCGTCTGGGCTTCAAGCATGCCTTCCGGTGCTGCCCCTTTATCAGTGCCGGCGACTACGAGGGGCTCGAAATGAAATCCACCCGCTACCTCCAAACCCAGGGCAGCGTGTATAAGGTCAGCCGCCTGGAGACCACCGTCTCCACAGTGGTGGGGGCCCACGAGGAGGAGCTAGAGGATGGTCCCAAGACCATACCCTCGGCTCTGGACCTGACCTCCAATGGCTCCTCTCGCGACTCCAAGACCGTGACAGAGAGCTTCAGCTTCTACTCCAACATGCTCTCCTAGACCACAGGTCCTCAGCAGGGGCAGCCACCACCATCTGTGTCTTGCTTCACTCCATGCATGGATAACGCCTTGATCTAGAAACCATCAGAAACACCCTCACATTGGGGCTTGTGAGGAAAAAAAAAAAACAAAACCCTGGTTTCTTCTGTGACTTTGTCATCCCCCATGCTGTGTGACCCAAGGCAAATCATTGAACTTCTCTGAGCTTGTAAAATGGCAAGGTTGAACTTGATTTTCCCTGCAATCCCTGCCATAATTCTAAAATTAACTTTGGTTGTATGTGGGGGCTCATTCCAGGAGGAATCCTGTAGCACCTGGATTTGCCTGGAGCCCCTGTCTTACTTCAGTGAAGCTGTCCTCAGTCATGTGCAGATTACCCTCCTTTAGCTGGTCTTTACATCAACCTCACATCAACCTTCACTCGACAGGGTGAACAAAAGAAGGAACTATGTAAAATCTGAAGGAAAGATTTAACTCCGTCTTCTAAGCATCTATGAAAAGGAGGCATGGATGTCTTCCTTTAGGCACCTCAGTATTTCAGTGCATCGAAACATCCTGAGATTGAGAACCTCACGTTCATCTGCATTCTGTCCCTAGGGACGGTCCTGAGCGACCAGTATGGCAGAATATGTCCGCTGATGCAAGCTAATGTCAGCTACACACCAAGAATCGGGAGGCCTGTGCCATACTTAATCTATCTGAGCTTCTTCCCTTATTTGTAAAACCATGGATGAAATAACCTAAGTATCCTTTTTAACATTCAAGAGTTCAAGAACTGTATGAGTTTTTTGTTTGTTTCACCAAAAATTGGTGGTCTCAAAAGGACTAGGAATAGCAAGGTCAGTGACTTAATACCCAGTTCCTGGAGAGTAGCAACTCCTAAAATGTGTCGATATCCATATCAAACGTTCTCTGGTTTATCCTAAAACCATGAGTACCTTCCTTCTTCTGGAACATTTTGGTCTTTGACAGAGCAGAGGACTTCATGTCAAAGGCTGCCTCTCACCATCAGATGTTAACAGGCCAAGTCCCACAGCTGGAGATGCCATCAGGGAGGATGAACACACGCACTCCCTGCCCTGGCCTTGTGGGGTATCTTAGGGCAGGGACACTAATGCAGTCTTAGCTTTCTACCAGCATAAGGCATGTGCTCAGATGTCCAATGAACGAGGAGGCTGCCCCCTGCAGCCCCACTTGTGGGAAGAGGTCACCTTGTATCTTCCCTTCTGATTCTCTGAATCTTCCCTTCCTGCCCCCATGGCTTTACTGGCCAGCTGTCTATGAGGGGTGGGATGTCCCACCCACCCCACGGGCCAGTCAGTCTACCAAGAGCCATGAATTTAATCCTGCCTATCCCACTAGAGCTTTGAGGTGTCCAGCAGGTGAGCACGCAGTTTCTCTCTGTCTCCCAGATTTGCGTTTTGTCCAGATGTGGCTGAAAGCAGAAGTCTCAAATACAATCCATCAATGTCCTCTTTGTGGTTTGAAGAATGGATGCACCTGTGCTGCATTTGCAGCACTGAGGGAGACCAATGCGGCTCCCAGGCTTTACAGCCTTCACCAGCCTTGCAGGCTAGAACCCTACCAGGGTATTGGCAGGCCGGGGGAGGTTGTATAGCAACAGTATAAGCCAGAACAACCCAAGAGCCATAGTCTGCAAAGCAGCATGGGAAGGATTAAATAAACTAAATAAAACCAGCTCAGTGCAGATATATGAATGAAAGACATAATTTAAGGGCCAAAAAAAAAAAAAAATCAATGCCCAAAGCATTAGTCATGCTTCCAATAAAGAATTGTGCCGTGTGTGGATCATTTACTCCAGAGGGGTATGTAAGGAACCAGCATGATTATGAGACATACCTACGAAGAAAGTGTCAAAGAATTGGAAACATCCTTTCTGTTGAAGAGGCGGGGGTTGAATTCAACAAGGATTTGTGGAGTACCTGCTCTGCGCTTAGCCCTGAGCTGGGGACACGAGACCCCTCCCACTCTTGAGGAAACTACCAGACTGGCTGTGGCTAAATCACCTTTCCTAGCGGGTCCAGACTGGCCATCGGGCAGGGAGGCAGCTGAGAAGCACATTCTCCCCAGGATTCTAAAGACCCACACTCAACATGGGTAATCAGGCCAAAGGCTGGGGCCTTCAGAGAGCCTTTTGCGATGAGTTCACTGAGGTTGTTGCCAAGGGAGCCACCAGTCAGTCCAGGGTAACTGAAGGGATGTGCTTGGACAGTGTCACCACTGCACATAATAAGGGAGACTATTGGCTGGTCATGGCTGGTTCAAATATGGCAGAACATCCCTGCTGAGGGCCCAGCAAACCTTCCTCTGACCCACTGTCCAGCGCCCATTGAACTTATAAGAATGTTGTCAGCTCCCATGTGTGAGAAACACCATGATTTGCACCATGCATGGGTCTCATGCTTATGGCAATGTGTCGCCCTGTGTTTATCTCTTGAGCATTTTTCCTTGATATACTGTCCGGTAGTAATAGAATATCAGACATCATGGGGCCATCTTTGTTATGTTACTTCCAAAATGTGGGATCCAGTTGCTGTCAATGCATTATTTGTATTGTGCCAATCTCTCCTCTTCATTCTGTCACAGAGAAGAGCTGATACACATCATGGACTCACAATCAGACCACAGTTATTGAGGGGTGGGTGGGAGACCTTTCTGGGAGGGACTGAAGGGCAGGAATCCTCATCTTCCTCACCCTCACCAGAATCCAAAGACACGCTGGAATGCCCTTTCCCTCGGAAGGACTAAGAGGACTCCTGGGAAAAGGGGACTCAGGAGCTGACCTCATTGACCTGGTTTTCGAGAAGAGTCCTGTAAGTGGAAGGGTTCATTCCTGAGGTTTCTGTTATCCAACCCAGGATCCTGGAAAGAACTTCCATTCATAAATAAAGTATGTGTTTGCCTCTCTCGTGATTCTGTCTCATCTCCAGGGAGCCTCAGGACCCTACAGGATGCTGAATGGGGTAGTATCATGAACCCTGCTAACTTGCATAGCCAGAGGATGGAACCCAACACCCAACAAACTTAACTCTGTGACAAAATGGGTTGGCAGGTGGTGGGAGCTATTTGCAGGTGGGGATCTGGGAAGGGAAGGTGGGATTGTGTGAAGTGACCAACACTGTCACCTGTGAGCAGAGCTGTATCCATGCAGATCTTCCCAGGACAGACACCAAGACAGAGTTAGAAGTGCAAGAGATTTATTGGGGGGACACCTGGGAAAGATGGGGGGAGAGGATGCAGGAGCCTGCACAGATCTGACCCGTATGATGAAATGGGGTGGGGAGGATGGGCAGGAAGAGCCTCAGACTTTGGTGTAGCTCTGAAAACTCTCAGCTGGCCCAACAACATCAAAGTTTGCTCATAGGGAAGCCCCGTGGTGACAGAAATGGCCAGGCCTGGCACCCTTGCCACAGGTGGTCACTGGCTGAGAACTCTCTGGGGAGAGAGTGGGCTGCAGCTGAGCCCTGCCATGAATCCTGAGGCACTGCAGCTGAGGGCTATCAGCTGACCCCCCCGCTCAGTTCTCTTTTGAAGGGACATGAGACATGAGAGCTGGGACCCCCATGACTGCCACCAGAGCTTGGGGCCAGCCCCCTGCGTTTAAAAACACATGTCAGGAAACCATTGGCCGAATGTGAAACCTTAATGGTAATGTCTGTGAACCTTGGCAACCTGCCTGCTACTTCCGGGGGCCACCCTGTACCACCTCACCTGCCAGGCACCTCCCCCAAAAGAGCAGTGGGCAGCCGTCCGGACATGAAATGACAAAGGTCGTAAAGGCATTTGAAAGAGGGAGTTTTGAGGAGAATATGGGCAGTTACCCAACATCCTGAGTATCAGACACAAATAATAAAAATGTTCCCATGCAAACTAAAGCATCTTAAACTGATATTCTTATATAAGCTTCAAGGGATCCACAGACCCCTGCAAGATTTCCACAAGTCACATGTAAGACATTGCATATGCGTGTGCATGTGTCCGTGTGTGTGTAGTAAGAGGTGCAAAACCTGAATCTCCCCCAAAGAAATCATCCACCCTCTGTTCTCCTGAGAAGGAGAGAAATGAAATTGTTTGTAGGACAGGGCCGAGCAGCCTTGAGACCTTCAGACGCCGTGACCGGTATAGGCAGCCTTGGAGAACCCAGAGCGGCTGCTGGGGAATTGGAAACCACTTTGGAACAAGAGCATGATTCACCCCAGACACGCGGATGAATTAAAGCTGTAGAACATCGTTAAAGATGTTTGTGGCAGTAAAAACACCAAATTCATGATTAAGGGGTGTGCTCACTCTTCTCCATGAAACGATGAGTATTTGTTAGCTGAGGAAGGACTAACCTGAGTTGTGGGCAAACAAGTCAGGCCGGCCCCGGAGTACAGATATTCCTGTGGAAAGGCAAAGACATTTCATTTAGTCCCGTGTGGGCACGTGTGGCCTACAGACGCACTGTGGATGCTTAGCCTCTGGAGCCGCAGCCGCCTTTGGTAACACGCCCTCCATCCCGCCCGCAGGGTGTGCACGTCCATGAGTGCATGTGAGAGTCCATGAGTGAACAGATCTCCTCAGCTCTGGAACCTGAGGGGAGATTTCAGTCAGAACCCCAAGTGGAGGTGGGCGAGGTGGGGGACACACCAAGCCTGTTCCTCTCATCCATCTTCAAAGGCGAGGGGAGCATCTGGCTGTAGAAACTGCTTTCCTGACCCCCACAGGCAGTGTTCTGAGACACCCCCATTTCTCTGTGCTCAGTTGAGGAAAACGGGGAGGAAGGGGCCTGAGGCCGTGGCAGGGCCTATCTCACAAGCACCGAATCCTACATAAAACGGTAGCGACCTTTGCTCCCGGCCTCCCTCTCGAGCAGCTGCTCAGCCAGCAAGGAGACGAGGCTGCTGAGTAGAAGCAAGTGACTACCGGGTATCGGCACTGACATGACTGCGCGCGCGGCTGCCCCGCCCTGTCTCTCTCCCGTGACACGTTGGCCACAT